AAAGTGGTACCAAAATCTAACCAGTACCTGTGTAGGTATTTTTGCGAAACAAAATAATACTAGGAACTTTTAACTCCTGGTCAAATTTTTTTTCTTTCTTTCATGCTTTTTTTATAACTTTTTTCCATTCCCATGTTAGCATACTGATCCGTTGGGCTATGTAGGATATTCTATTTCTACTGTGGATATTCTCATTATGAAGTCTGTAGAGAAACTCCGAGCATAGGTCTTTATATCTCGCTGAATGACCTAAAACCAAAAACACTCACAATAATAAATTTATTAGTAAAGTATACTAACAATAAACTGAAATAGTCAAAATTTGGGCACCATTCTAGATATAAATATTTAATTCTTACCCAGATTGAACAAGAGTATCAAATATAATAGAATCATGGGTTGCTTTTCGGAAATCCATTATATTAAAGATGTACAATTTATTCGCTAAAATCTGTGTGAAAAATAAAAATGATGTCTTGTCTGGTTTTTCCTCCCTCATACTGTAGTGTTATGCTACTTACATATCTTTTTACATTATTTTAAATTCATTTTTCCATTCTGTTTCGATTTTCTGCATTCACCTCAAAACTGGATATTTTACATCACCTTTATTTCCATAGGATCCTGTAACGATTTTAAACCATAAGAACACAATAACAAATCATTTCTACTTCGTATTTTCACATTATCAGCACTTTTAAATTGGTGTCAATGGAGTCTACCTTTTTTCGATCTTTTAGCTAGTTTTCCGTAACTCTACAATCTTGGGCTTTGTGTGGGCAACTGCGCTACCTTTTTTCCTATATCAATAATATCTCATTTTCCACTTAAATCTTACCGTTTTCTTATTATAAACCAAAAACAAAAATTTGACATGTTTTGTCTTTCTTATTTATATCGTTTCCATGGTAATTATATTCAAATTTGCTACCGATCTGTTATTCCTATTTCGATATTTCCACATAAATCCTCTTTTCTCTTGACCATTTACAAAAAAAATTTGCGTATAATTTAAATAATTTTTCCGTTCTCTCTAGAAAGGTATAAAAGCCGAACAATCGGTGAAGAAAGGCAGTCTCGCTTCAGTTCGCGAATTGGAAGTATCTCCTAAAGGCCTTATCCCGGGGCCGCACTGCCCCGGGATCCTGCAAGCCTCCATTTACACGTGAAGTCTTCGGCGAAGCCTTTTTCAAACTCGGGCCGCGCCACTCCGGAATCCTACAAGCCTCCATCTACCTCGGAAGTCGCTTCGAGTCTACTACAAGCGCGGGGGCCACACTACTCCGGGCACTACTACTACTTACTCCAGGCGCCGAGTGCACCTACCGCCGGCGCTACCTTTGGGCGCTGCAACTGCTGGCTCTAAGCGTTGCGCGCCCCTTCTCCAGGCGCTACGTGCGCCGGCTCCGGACGCTGCGTGTACTGGCTCCAGGCGCTGCGCGCCGTCGCTGCTAAGAAACCTACCTCTACAAGCGCAAACGGCGTGTGCTGGCTTCAAGCGCTGCGTGCCGTCGCTGCTAAGAAACCTACCTCTACAAACGCAACGTGTGTCGCTTCGACTTTTAGGCCCCACTACAACACTATATTCCCCTATTCTCTCACCTTTATTTTTTTTATAATCTAATTGTACTCTCACTTCATTCATCATCATCCTCATTTAATTTTTTTTATAAAATTGTAAATACCTTTTATAAATTTAAATATATTGTTTTCTGGCTCTACTTTTGTTGTTTTGTTGTACTTAGGTTAGGTTCTATTTTTTTTTAATTGTCGCTTCACGACAATACTATCACCATCACCACTAATCTCAAAACCACTACACTAGAAGAGACAACACCAGATCAAAAAAAAATCAAATACAGTGGTTTATAATTGTAAATTAACGGTTGGGTCCAGCCTGTTAAGTATTAATAATACTTGTGTTAGGTATCCTCGGTGGCGGAGGGGCTTAGTAGCCCTGGCTTGTTCAACCACGGTAAACAAAGAGGAACCTACTTAACTGACGCGAGGCTACACCGAGTGGGCTTGGCGAGCCCACTTCTAATGTGTGTTGGTGGGCTGCGACGAGAGAGTAGTGTCCTTTACCCTTACCGCTAAAACCAAGGTGGAGTCGCGGGGTAAGAAGAGTGTTGATACGGCGATGCCACATCACCCTATACTCCGCGACTCTGGCGGGGCCGCGCCGTTGATGCAGTGATGGTGGGACCGCAGAAAGGATAGAAAAGTGTCAGTATTCTCTTTCCCTGCTCTCCGCGACCGATACTTGGTTGGTGGCGGAGCCTCAGACTAGTCAGTTGTAGTCAGTAAGGCTGGTGCTTCCGAGGGCTCGACTTTTTTCCTGGTCAAGGGTTCAGGGGTCGCGTGGCACAATTGGAGTTAGGAGGCCTCAGAGGAAGGCGCGCCTAGTGTTCGCCTTACCTGAGAAGGAATAGGGGGAGGAATTGTCCTCTGAGGGGCTGCCATGGGGTGGCCGTCGCTAGTGCGGACGTGGATGTGTGCGAAAGCGTCCCCGTGGCCCTGCCCATATGCGGCAAAGGTAAAATATCATGAGGTTTTAGTCGGTGCGTGTAAAAAATGTAAAAAAAGGGTGAGCCTTACTATATATACACCAGATGGCCGCTCTTAGTTGTCACAGCGTCTATTTCACCTGATGACGCCTCGATTAGAGGCGAAACACACGTTTTGTGTGTTTTTCGAAACGTTGGTGTTGAAATAAGTGGTGAGAGTGATAGTAATTTAGGGAGGGCGCGGAGGTGTTCTTCAAACTAGGTAAAACATATCAATTCTAGACACACGACAATGTGTCAGGCATGTTCGGAAAAGAAGAGGACGACGCACCATCAGTATGTATATTTACACAAACCATTTTAAGTCAGTCGCCTTCGAACCCCTAACCATAACTCAAAACCTATTAGACCTACACATTTAAGAAACCCTTACTTACGCAAACTTCATGAAAAAGCCCTCGACGAAAAAGAGGATTTTTATATGTTTAACGTGTGTGTCTGTGGCATCGTGGCTCCCTAACGAATGTAAATCTGTTCGATATAGATTTAGCCTTTTTTGTTTGAAAGTTGACTTGATCGATAGTGTTCTTAGCTATATGATTCATGAAGAAAATCTTATCAGCCGTTTGAATATATAAAAGGTTCTAGCTTAACCCTAAAGAAACCCTACAGACCTAAACTGAACACATAGTTAAAATCAAAATACTCGACGTTACTTCGTAATAATTGACCAAATTGACTTATTTGCGTTTTTAGTGAAATTTATTTTTATCGTAATTCATTGAAAACGCATTTCCGACATCCAAATACAGTGTAAAAGGTTCAAAAATAACCCTAACAAGCCTCTTAAACAGAAAACATTATTAAAATCAAGTACCGGACGCCTACTTCATAATACTAGACCAAATTGATATAATTGCGTTTCGTTATAAACAATTTTAGTGAAATTTATTTTTATCGTAATTAATTGAAAACGCATTTCCGACATCCAAATACAGTGTAAAAGGTTCAAAAATAACCCTAACAAGCCTCCTAAACAGAAAACATTATTAAAATCAAGTACCGGACGCCTACTTCATAATACTAGACCAAATTGATATAATTGCGTTTCGTTATAAGCAATTTTAGTGAAATTTATTTTTATCGTAATTAATTGAAAACGCATTTCCGACATCCAAATATAGTGTAAAAGGTTCAAAAATAACCCTAACAAGCCTCCTAAACAGAAAACATTATTAAAATCAAGTACCGGACGCCTACTTCATAATACTAGACCAAATTGATATAATTGCGTTTCGTTATAAGCAATTTTAGTGAAATTTATTTTTATCGTAATTAATTGAAAACGCATTTCCGACATCCAAATATAGTGTAAAAGGTTCAAAAATAACCCTAACAAGCCTCCTAAACAGAAAACATTATTAAAATCAAGTACCGGACGCCTACTTCATAATACTAGACCAAATTGATATAATTGCGTTTCGTTATAAGCAATTTTAGTGAAATTTATTTTTATCGTAATTAATTCAAAACGCATTTCCGACGTCCAAATACAGTGTATAAGGTTCAAAAATAACCCTAACAAGCCTCCTAAACAGAAAACATTATTAAAATCAAGTACCGGACGCCTACTTCATAATACTAGACCATATTGATATAATTGCGTTTCGTTATACGCAATTTTTAGTGAAATTTATTTTTATCGTAATTAATTCAAAACGCATTTGCGACTTCCAAAAACAGTGTAAAAGGTTCAAGCTTAACCCTAACAAGCCTCCTAAACTGAAAACATAATAAAAATCAATTACCGGACGTCTATAGCCAACCCATGAGCTATCATATCTATACAAATAAATAAAATTGGAGTATCTGTTTGTAATGTCAAAATAACAGCTTTTCACTAAATGCATATGAAAATATATTCGGTACTTATAACAAAAACACAATTTTTAAAATTTTTGGGCTGTCTGTCTGTCTGTCTGTTTGTTCCGGCTAATCTTCAAAACGGCTGGACCGAATTTAATGGGACTTTCACTGGCAGACAGCTGATGTTATAAGGAGTAACTTAGGCTACTTTTATTTTTGAATAAGAATTAGGGTTCTGCGCAAAAAAAATTAAAAACCTATATTACACGCGGGCGAAGTCGCGGGGAACAGCTAGTTATTTTATTATAGTGAAGTATCAAACGAACTTAAAACCCACCTGATGGTAAGTTGCTACTGTAATCCATGGACATCTGCAGTCAACTTCAAACAAAGAAATCTACAGATGCGTTGTCACCTCTGAAGACAAAGATGAAATGTCCTATAACTTGTAATTGCACTTGGTCTCTCTACCCTTTAAACCTTAACACAGCTGTGCAGACACTATTGTTTGGCAGCAGAATTAGGTGACTTATGACAACTGAAGAGAGTGGTACCTACTGACTTGTTTTAGGTAATATGATATTTTCTTTTTACAGAATGGTGCGTGCGAATGTTCACAACACAAAAATGTCCCGCCATGAGAAAGCGAAGAGTGGCTTTGTAAGTAATTTTTTTTTAAATCTAACCTTTAGTACACCCATAGGAGTGCATTATTCTAAGCATTGTAACCATTCGTTTATAGTTTTGGAGTAGTAAATATAAGAACCGATGGATCGTTCGCGCCGTTTCAACACCGCTTCTTTCTTATTAAGCTACTAATGTAGGTACTGAGCAGGTCAGAAAGATCGAACCGGTAACAGCCAACCTCATTTATCAATGAACTGTTTAACTTATACGTGAACCACCTCGTGAACCAGCTCCATGCACTTTTTCTATATTTGTTTAATTTAAATCTAAGTTGATTGGCCAAATACAAGATGTGTATATGTATATATTATATAAGAATTAGTAATTTAATAACAACCATCGACTCATCATCATCATCATTACAACCCTTCACAAGTCTACTGCTGAACATAGGCCTCCCCCAAGGAATGCCACAAAGCACGGTCCTGAGCCACTTGCATCAATTTCTGCATGTCTTACCAGGTCATCACTCCATCTAGGGGCGGGACGACCTACACTTCGCCTACCGATACGAGGCTGCCATTCGAGAACCTTTTTTCCCCATCGGTTGTCGGTTCTTCGAGCTATATGGCCGGCCCATTGCCACTTCAGCTTACTTATCCGCTAAGCTATGTCGGTCACTCTGGTTCTACTGAGGATATCCTCATTTCTCCATAGCTCGCTGAGTGACCTTGAGCTTCCTCATCCGGGCATCAGTGAAGGAATACGTCTCAGTTCCATAGGTCATCACTGGCAACACGCACTAGTTGTACAGTCTCGTTTTTAAGTTTTGAGGTATACCTGATGAGAAGATGTGCCGTAATTTCCCGAACGCTGCCCAACCGAGTTGGATCCGTCGATTGACCTCTCGGTCGAAGTTGGACTTACCTAGTCGGACTATTTGTCCCAGGTAAACATACTCGTCAACAACTTCGAGCTTAGTGCTCCCAACAACTACCGGCATAGGTGTGACATAGACATTAAACATGATCTTTGTTTTGTCCATGTTCATCTTAAGACCTATCCGTTGGGAGACACTATTGAGGTCATTGAGCATAGTGCTTAGGTCCTCCAGCGATTCTGCCATTAGGAATATATCGTCGGCAAATCGAAGGTGAGTGATGTACTTGCCATTGAAGTTAATACCGTATCCTTTCCAGTCCAGAAGCTTGAAAACGTCTTCTAATGCAGCGGTGTAGAGTTTCGGGGATATAACGTCACCCTGTCTTACACCTCTCTGCAATTGGATAGGTTTCGTACTCTGGTTCTGTACTCTGATAGCCATCGTAGCCCTACTGTACAAGCACTTCAGCTCTTCGATATACCGACAGTCAACTTGGCACCGCTGAAGGGACTGCAGCACCGCCCAAATTTCGACGGAATCAAAGGCTTTCTCATAATCCACACACACCAGACATAGTGGCAAATTGTACTCCGCGGACTTCTGTACAATTTGCCGAAGGGTATGTATATGGTCTGTGGTGCTAAAGCCCTTTCAAAACCATCCACTAATACTGTGTAATGTGCAGTAATCCGTGCTTTAAGTGCAGCACTTGAGCGTTGTGAATAAGAGGATCACATTTACTTGTTGCATATAATCTGAAATCGATATCTTACAGGCTATACAGTACGATAAAAATCTTAACGGTTGTGAATATCTCGTACGTTGCACGAAACGAGTCTTTTCGGAGAACGTCCTCAAATCCTATATGTGACCGGTGAACCCTGGTTATTCATTCGTTAAGAACAACGTATCGTATGAAATACAGCTAGCGCCATTTTTAAGCTACAAATGACACCTATAACTAACTGTAATATAAATATATTACAGTTAGTTTTGGGTGCTCATCTTTTACCAGTATAGATGATGAGTCATATTTATTGAATAAATTGTTGGTTGTTTATATAAAGCCTGTTTATAAGCTGCCACATTAGCTCCGAACGCTCCGCTCTACGGTGTAAGAATATCTAGGTAGGTACTTACCCTTTGACGTTCCGTGGGTGTTGTAAGCTTGTAAAAGCCGACAGAGAGAAACAAACTAAGTGTTGGGCAGCAGTGTCTTCCTAATAACAACTTGAAAAAAAGTCTTTCTAGAGCGACATGTTTCTAAATATATATTTGTAACAACTATAATCAATTTTTTAAAACCCTACCGCAGCTAACAAAACAGCTGATGACCTTGAAACGGCTGAAACCGATTTTGATAAAACATGTCTAAGAACCACCGCTAGAAAACCTGATTTTAAATAAAAACCTAAACCTAAGCTAAGCTAAGGTGTCACAGACAGACACACAAATATAGCGGTCAAACTTATAACACCCCTCTTTTGCGTCGGGGGTTAATAAAAGACTGCAGTTTTTTTTTCTTTTATAGGATAAGTGTGACAAACGAGCACACAGTCCACCTGATGGTAAGTGGTTGCTGCGGCCCATAGACATCTACATCTATCTTCTATTACAAATCAAAATGTAGATGCGTTGTCACCCGTGAGGACTAAGATGGAATGCCTCATTTCCAGTAATAAGGGCCTCCGGTCACCTGCACTCACCAAGCGAAATGCAGAGGTAAACCTCTACTGCACGCTGGTTTTCTGTGAGGTCGTGGTACTACCCCGGTTCGAGCCGGCCCATCCGTGCGACAGCAAAAGCTGCCGCGTAGCTCTACCACTGTTAAAGTTGTGTACCCGCCTGCCAAACGTAATATAAAATAATTACAAATATCCTTGATATGAGGAAATCTGTAGGGGGGCCTATTTTCATCAGTAGACTTTGTTAGGCTGTAATTAATGAATTAATGATGACAAATAAGCACACAATCCACTTTATGGTAAGTAGATGATGAGGACCATAGACTCCTACATCTCCACTGAAGAGTAAAATGGAATGCCTCGTTACTCATAAGTAAAAAGGGTCTCCAATTCTCGTTAATAATCACTTACGAGACACAACAGGATTATGATCGTATATTACGCGGGTATTATGTGTGAGCGTGGTCCTTTCCCAGTCGAACAGACCCATGCGTGCTGCAGACATAATACAGGGCAGCGTAGCTCTGACACGTATATGACTTGACGTGGACACCTATTGATAATGTGTTAAGAATAAGATTATTCAACACAGTCCACTTGATGGTAAGTTGATGCTGTGGCTCTTAGACATCTACATCTTTCCTTGGTTGAGAATCAAAGGCAAATGCGTTGTCACCCATGTGGACAGAGATGTAATACCTCGCTATAATAAATCGAAGATTGAGAATTTTTTATGTGTAACAATCTACTTATCTTCACGCACAATCCCTGACGGGGTAGCCAGAGAGAACAGATCGCCAAGTGTCACGATCCTTACAAACCTCTTTCGCTTCTTTCAGATTCATTATCTTCTTCATGCATGCACGTCTAGGTATCCGAGTACTCTTGACCCTACCCTCTTCGAGCAATTTGCTCACATGGTCTTCGAAAGTTAGTCTCGGTCTACCTCGACACCTTTTAATATTAACTTTCGCACTATATATTTTCTTCACCATTTGGTCTTCACTCATTCGCTCAACGTGCCCAAACCACCGAAGCACGCCCTTATCAATTTTTGTGATAAGGTCATCTTTCAAACCTGCCATATTGCGAATCTCTTCGTTTCGCTTTCGGTCGGCCATAGTAACGCCGCAAATTTTACGAAGAGATCGCATCTCCATTGCATTCAACTTACTTTTATGCTTCTTCTGGCATACCCAGGTTTCGCTGCCATATAACAAAGTCGGTACCAACACTGCGTTATGTATTGCAAGGCGTGCACTCTTCGCTACGCCTTGCCTTTTGACTAACGCAGTCAGGGCACCATTGACTTTGTTCCCGGCAGCGACACGCCTGTCCACATCTAAATCACATCTTCCATCCCGGCTAAAAGCACTCCCCAAGTAACAATCTACATTTTATTTATAAATCTAATATAACATTACTGTGAATTTTACTAAAAAAGTTTTAACAAAAATAAGTTTTACCAAAATTAGGAAAACAGAAAAACCGAGACACGTCGTAAATTGCTTTCCGGTTTAATGAACCGTATAATTTATTTCAATAGATTACAGCTGCGTGTACACTGTAGAAGTTATAAGATGTAAATTAGAATTCATACTCCACATTATTTTATCATAGTGACAAACAGGCTAATAGTCCACCTGGTCTACTGCAGCCTGCGGCTCTGCAACCAATTTCAAGCAAATATATACCACAAATGAGTTGTCAGCCCTAAGGACTAAGGCGAATAACCCTTACGTTTTGAAATCATACTGGCTCTCTTACCCTTTAACCTGGATATATCACGGGGTGCAATTCGCAGATATAGCTTCCAATGGAATGGTTCTAATACAGAGAGACTTCAAAACAGAAAAGGAGCCCGCGTCAATACTGTATTATATTCGCTATATGAATCTTTCTACACGATAGAAAGGGATAGCATTATTAGATACTGCTTGATGCACTTTTATACTTATTTCGTTACAAACTGTACAAAATCAATAAGAATAGCTGAGAAAGGAAAATTCACTCTTAATATTATAGCTGTAAAATTCCCATTTGTATTACGGGTACCAACTGATTCTTAACTGTCCGACTCACTTGAAACCAAAGCTTAACTTGCACGTTTTTCATACTGTTCCATTACTAGATAAGCGGTGGTACGGTTTGCAAGAAACATGAATAGATTGTAATCAAGAATTCAATTGCGCAATAATTTTGCTGGGTCAAGTAATCAGTTAAAAAACTGCTTAAATACAATATTATAAAAAGGTTAACTTGGCGTGAGTTAATTTAAGTCCTTTGTCATATTAGAAAATTATATCATAGGAATTTAAAATTATAATTTCGGTATGTAAGAGTGCATCAATGATGCCAATTTTATTTAAAAGTTAAAACTTAAAGTTACTGACTATACATATACGTCCTGCTGGGCACAGGCCTTCTCTCATCTCTGAGAGGATTTTAGGGCAAGGAAATGTCCG